ACAACCGCTAGTGACGATTCCTTCTCCTATGGTTATGCCTATTTTTGTAGCACAAAATCCTCAACTATCTTATACTACTCCAAACATTTCAGTCCTCGAGGTGGCAGATTCTCGAAAACCGCTCACCTCTTCACTGGAAACGACTTATGCTACCCCACGCCAAGCAGCGGTCGGGGCGCCCATCGACATGGTGGGGAAGCCTAGCAGAACGGCTATCCCACACTTGGCTAGGTCCATTTCATTGAGGCTTGATTTGCATCAATACCCTTCCCTTGTGCTACAGACAGCGTCAGTCAATACCACCAGATCGGGAAGAATTTCTCATTCGCAGCCACAGACCCAACCAGTTAATAAAATCTTCCTGCCCAGATCTCGATTATGGAACTTCTGTCCACTTCACAAGTCCATCAGGCTGGCAAAGGCTAGCACGACCTTGGCTTTTTAGACCTTGGTATCCTTTGTGGATATCCCACATGAAATTCGCGATGAGGGTTCCAAACCTCCTCTATCCCACGTTGAGATTTTAGAAAAAGGTGGGCTTGGGCACAAGCTCAACTTCTTCGATTAGGCTACCACCCGGGGCTTGGTTTAGCTGAGGATGGGATTCGTTACCCGATTAGTCTCCCCACGCTATTAGGCACCTTTGGTCTAGGCTTTGACCCAAAAGTCCACTTTGGATTGAGAACGTCCCACTGTGAATTCATAGATTGAATTCACTGCGGAAAGCTCCTCGCTACACAAGTCGCGTCACCGCATTCGTTCAGTCGGGTCGCCAAAGCAGCGGTGATGAAGGCTGACACGATTGACCGGAACTGGAGTCTCACGAGGGATTTAGCAGTTCCGTGGCTGCATATTCAGTCGAGCACATGTGATTGAGTCGCCCATACCATACCTGAGCTCGATAAACTTTCCTTATACTGACCGAGAAAAACAAGTTCCAGAGGCATCTTCCATTCATCTCGATTTGGGTTTTTCCGCACCATATTTGGATCTCCCTCTTCTTCGATCCGGAATTCCCAGCAAATCCCTGACTCCTCGAATACAGTGGGATTTCACACCTGGCGAATCTTTTACTCTACCTCCTCTTATTAAGACCTTAGAATGTTCCTGCGAATTATGACCTTCGCCTGGAATGTAAGCAAATATATCATGTTTATTGCTCAACTGTACTTTGGCTATCTTACGTAGAGCTGAATTAGGTTTTTTCGGTGTTCTCGTTGAAACACGCGGGCATACTCCTTCCTTCTGGGGACATTGATCCAAAGCTCGAGTACGGTCCGTGCGCCGTTTTTCTTCTCTACCATGACGAATCAATTGATTTAATGTAGGCATCGCTATTTCCTTTGTCCTTCCCCCCTATTTTTGCCCTCTCACTAGTGGTTACTCCCGATCCTAAGCACCCCTTTTCCATTCATAGAGAGATCCAATCGTCAAAATCAATAAAAAGGCCATCATGGACCAAGATCCATAGGGATCAATCTTGTTGGGAGGTACTGCAAAAACAATGGGAGAAAGGCAAACAAAAGAATTATCCGATGAATAAAAGAGAAGCTCCAAACCAGGGCCAGGAAAAGAAGCACAAGAGCTTAATGAATAACCAGATGAACAAGGACAGCTACATAAAGTGGAATGAAGGGGCTCCTTCAATATAAAGTTCAATTTAGTTTATGCCCCGATTGCACAGAATCACGATGATTCTCTTAAACATTTCTAAACTTTGGCTATATCCAATTTTGGCGTTATCATCAATAAAATCCTTACCTAGACAAACAAGGAAAAAAAAGTTCAAAAATTAAAAGGGAAAGGAAGGATATACGATCAGATTCTACAGGATTCTGTATTCCCTGATAACTTTTTTCATAGTCTGAGAACTAAGCAGCAAGTCGCCTAATATCATTTCTACAACTGTCGTGGAAAATGACTAGAAAAGTTCCATCCCATACAGTGGCTGGCAGTGACAACATCGCCAACATAATGGCAACAGAAAGTCTGATTCTCTATAAATGTCAAAATCATCTTGCTCTTTTTATTTAACCAAGCCCGAAACCCTTTAATGTAGCTCAAAATCAACCCAACATCTTTTCTCAATTACTAAACAAGGCTATGCGTACCCTTTATGGACACTATTACTTACCTCTCACTTTCCACCCTGATAAAACAGAGGCTAGATTAGTTACATCTTTGATTTTCTATTCCTTTAGACATCCAGACTTGAATAAGAAAAAGAAAATTAGATAAATAAATACTTCATCTTGTATAATATAATACCTGACAGCATCTCCAGCAATAAAATAATTTTGACTACTTGATTTCATAATTGAAAATTCAAATCATCAAAAAGTTCATTTATACTTGGGACCTAATAAATAAAAATCAAAACAAATATTCATAAAGGCGCTGTGTAGAAAAATCAAGTTCATCAACTCGAAGCACAGAATTCTACACAGTGAACAACAAATGCATATTCAAGTAAATGGAGCTTAATACACAAAACGGGCAGACCTTGGTATCAAGCATTACAGCACAAAGGATTTGAGTGTTCTGCATAGCAATCCTTAGACTGTCCAGAGTCTCCTGATGGTACTCATGGGTCCCATGCGAAAAGTTGAACCTGGCAACATTCATTCCGGCTCTAAGGAGCTTCTCTAACATTGGCACTGACCTAGAAGCTGGCCCCAAAGTGCACACAATTTTTGTCTTGGGGACACGGCCATCATTTGGAATACCCCTCAAAATTCCCTCAATGTCTATGTTTGCCATTTGCAATTCCCAGACTTTCTAAATGCACGCAGAATTCAGTCCAGTACACTACCTATCAGTAAAAGAGCAACCCCATATAAGCAACATAACGATCAAAACAACATAATACAGATAAAACCAACATAACAAAAAGCAAACTGGAAAAGGAAATACAGATTCAAAGAAAATTATAAAGTCATGCATGAATCCTATTAGAATCTATATATTCATTGACGTTTTCTTTTCATTTTGGGGCCATTTGTCAAGTATAAATTTTGATAAAAGTTTAAATTCTTTTACATAATCAAATTATCATGCCCAAATTGACTTAGCAACAAATTCCACCCAATACCCAAAAATAAAGTAGAACTGTACAAAAATAAAATTTGAAGAAAGATCCGATATATTCACAAGTAACAATTTTCTACATTTACTTCATATTATCAACAGAAATATAGAATCACAACATGGGTGGTTCATAAGAAGTCAGTTTTCGTACACAAATGAAATATACGAGGACTTGGCACAATATAGAAGTATATCAACTAACTAAAAGCATAGAAAAATAAATCGACATAATTTTCAGATCTAGAACCACCAAAAAAATCGCTTCATAAAGAAACAAAATAAAAAATACCAATATCAGATAGAAAATAGCAATTAACGTTTGTGTTGAGAAGAACTTAGCAAACAAGATGAACAAATAAATTTCATTCACCCCAGAAGAGTATGAAGTTGAAGCAAAAGGAGCAGCCCACAGATTTTTTTTTTCCTCTGTTTAAACAGAAGATTCAAGTTTGCACACTATAAATATATATTATTTAATTACAATGTGCGGTTTTATAGGCTTTAAAGGGTAATACTGCCGACGTTGATTGTTTTGGGTGTCCTTATGGCGTGCTTGGCGAATCTTTAACAGTGTACTGATATTAAGGAGTTAAATGTTTCTTTAGCCACTAAACCTTCGTACATGTCACGGTTTACTCAACAGTCTTTAAAACTTATCCCACTGACCACTCAACTTCAAATCGTCCCACTCAGTTGGCAACTGGATCAAAATTGTTAAAAACATTGTCCACGTGACTGACGGTATGATGACGTGGTACATTAAATTGCTAATTAAATGTCATATCAACGTCATGTGTGCAAATGAGTTACTCACCGAACTTTACTCTATGTCACGGATTACTCACATAACTTTGGTCTATATCACGGTTTACTCACCGAACTTCCAAAATTGTCCCGATGGCCACTGAACTTCACTCTATCCAAGTTCATCACTCACCCAAATTAAGATGATGTTTGACGGGGATTAAAATTTTAACAGTGTACTGATATTAAGGAGTGAAATGTTTCTTTAGCCACTAAACCTTCGTACATGTCACGGTATACTCAACAGTCTTTAAAATTTATCTCACTCACTATTCAACTTTACACCGTCCTACTCAGTTGGCAACTGGATCAAAATCGTTAATAACATTGTTCACGTGGCTGACGGTATGATGACGTGGCACATTAAATTGCTAATTAGATGTCATATCAACGCTATGTGTACAAATGAGTTACTCACCGAACTTTGCTCCATGTCACGGATTACTCACATAACTTTGTTCTTTATCACGATTTACTCACCGAACTTCCAAAATTGTCTGAACTTTGCTATATGTCACGGATTAAACACCGAACTTCCAAAATTGTCCCGTTGGCCACAAAATTTCACTCCGTCCACCTCCGTCACTAACTCAAATTAAAATGGTGTTTGGTGGGGATTAAAATTGAATTTTTAGAAGATTGTGATAGAAGTTTTTGAAATATACGGTTGAAAAGTTGTGAGACTCATGAAAAATGTTATTGATATTGATTGTTTGATTTTGACTTATATTAAAATCAGATTAAAATATGAATATAAGTTACAACATAATAATGAGATCAAATTTTGTAATAAATCTGAAAATTAAAATCAAAACTGAAAATTAAAAAAGAAAACTGAAATTTAAATTGTTAATTTGAAATTTTTTAAAACTTATTCTTAGGTAATTGATATTCTTGATTTGAGGCTTAGGGCTTTGAATGTCCCTGAAAGTAGATTTGAGAATTTTCTTATTTCACATTTCTCTGGTTTGTTCAAAGAAATTGTTAGAGACGCATTTTGTTCTATTTAATCAATGGGACACATGAAATGGTTAGAGACGCATTTTGTCATATTTAATCAAAGCGAGATTCAATTATATTATGAAATGTGTGTTTGGCAGTGATGAGTTGGAGCTGACATAGAACAAAGTTCGATAAGTAATCTGTGATATGGAGCAAAGTTCGATGAGTAATTCGTGACAAGGAGCAAAGTTCGGTGAGTAACTCATTTGCACACATGGCTTTGACGTGGCATCTAATTAACAATTTAATGTGCCACATCATCATACCGTCAGCCACGTGGACAACGTTTTTAACGGTTTTGATCCAGTGGCCAACGAAGTGGGACGGTTTAAAGTTCAGTGGCTAATGAAACATTCAACTCGATAATAAGTAAGTAAAATTTAACCCATTACCAAAAATAAGTAAAATTTAAAATAAGTACTTTGCTCTTTTTCTTTAATTTTGACTTATGGTCTACTTGAGCCACGTTATTTTGGAATAGCAGATTGATAGAGAATGTATAGTTGAAAAGGAAAGAAAATTATTGATGTGATGTAAAATATTATTTTATTGAAAAAGATATGGTTGAAAATGAATAGAATAATGAGAATGAGAATTTTACTGTGGCTCAAACAGGTGCTTAATGTCGCCTTTGGTTGATATCATTTACTTTAATTTAATATATTTTTCATTTTCATTTTCAACCACGTATTCACACAATATAATATTTTATACGTAAATTTAAAACATTTTCTTACTTTCTAACCATACATTCAGACATTGCACACCAAATGTTTGTTTCTTTACCTCAAGAAGACGATGATATGATTTTGAGTGACAAATTAAAACTTAGACAATTCGTATATGCACAAAACTTAGAGAAGGCTACATTGTAAATACAAGTTCATGATGCTAACTTTTCTTTTCGACGTGTGTATACAAGTATACAAATAGTTCAATACTCCCTTACGTAGATCTCTATTGGCTCTACCCACATAGATTATATAAACTTTCCCAGAAAACTACGGTAGATCTTGAATCGAAATTTGAGCTACACTGGAGGAAGTTAATGCACAGTATGCTCAAATGTACGTCGATGTTGGAGTCTACTTGTTGCATTTTTTATATCGCAAGTGTACGATATCGTAACAAGTAGTATAGTGGACCTTTGAATCCGGATATCGTTCCCACAGAAACTATACTTTAGGATTTGAACTACTTTTTCTAACCCGTATTTGACAAAAGCAAGTAAATAATTATGGTGGTTGTAATTATTTTTTCTAACTACTTTTAAGAAATTGAAAATATAAAAAGATTGCACACACGAATAATTGAAAATTCAAATATGTGATGAATATTAAGGCATAACAATTTCATTAATATGTGATGAATATTAGGGAATATCAATTTCATCTATTGATCACCTTTATTTTTAATTCAAGATTCATAATCTAATGTAGTGTCCAACCGAATTCTTCTATTGTATTCAATTTACCCATATCGAGTTCTCATTGAGCATATTTAACTAATTAAATTACATATCTCTATCAATTTTAGTTAAACGAAATACTAGTTTTAAGAATTCATATTATGACTGCAATAATCAGTATAGGTATCTCTACACGTTATACTAATTTATTGAATTTTATTTTATGATCTAAATCTCAAATTCAGCTTTCGATTCGTAAGAAACTCACATAATCATCAAATTAATGATAAGGTAATTTAATACGTTAAACTCATAATAAAACAAACATATAAATAAATAAATCACAGAAATCTTGAATAAAAAAAATAAAGGATCACAATTCGACTAAATTATTTTCAATAATATAAAAATTAATTATTCATACTGTAAATATAAAAACACGCAAAAGTGGAAAAATATCACCAGAAATCGATGAAACGTGAAATTTTTTTGTGTTTGCAATTTCCTTTACTTTCCTTTCTTTTTCTCCTTTATTCTTCTCTATGTTTTTCTCTGTTTCTGCATTTACTTTTTTTTCTCCTCTCTTTCTTTTTCTTTTCTTTTCTTCAATCTAACTTTTCTGCTTGTGCTCTTTTTCTTCTTTGTTTTATTCTGTGTAGCGCCATAGTTCCCTCTTCCACCTTTCTCTCTGGTCCGTGTGTAT